TTGATCGTGTTTACCCAGAGGTTGAACTCCGCGCATCCATTTCCATACTGTGACAACTTCACCTCCTTCAGATTAGTGGACATTCTACCGTTCAACAACGGTGTGATCATTTTGTGGGTGATCCCCTTGCAAAACCAAAATTCCAAGTTTTTCAAGTTCAGACAAGATGCCAAACCCTCCCATGGACCACAATCCTGAAAATCCACCAGCCGAAATTTCATCGATGTTAATGATATCGATTGTGTATCCAAGGCCGATATTATGTAGCCGAGATATGCTTTGCAATCAATCATGTCGAGGGTCTTCAAGTTCTTTTGCGCTTTTACTAACCTTCGTAAGGAGATTGCAGCCGAGTCATCAGGTGTTATGCCAACCTTGCACGGTTGATGTCCGTACCACCCGCGAAGATGTAAATTCTCCTGCAATAAATAAATGAATCGAATTTCGTCAGCACGAAAACAACGAACGTTTCTGATAAAGTTTTGACAAACAATCCATTCTAGATTTAATGCGTGCGCTTACCACATTCTGGCACAAGTCCGGTAGTCTAAGAAGTAAGCCTTGTTGATTGTGATCGAATCCATCAAGTGAAAGAGTTCTCACCGAGGTGATTAGGCCTCGGATGTCGTGTTCGGTTAAGATCATACACTTTTCATCGTGATAATCTTCACCGACGGTTGCAAGCTTTAACGATGAAAGAGGGCCAGCGTTATACAAGAAAAGTCTGAGTAATACTCTCATGATCGATATGACAGCGTTCGGTCTTCTTTTAGGTAGGTTGCTGCACCAAACTTCTACGGCATACAACATTTCACCGTAATCGAGATGACGAATGAAAGAGGGATAGTTGAACAAGGGAATTGGAGAGACGGTGGGCAGTTTAATTCCCTTCATCTTTAAATCTCTTCTCTCCTCGATATCCAATCCTCGTAAATAGGTAGTTATTATTTTATGGCCTCCGTTGTGAAATGGAGTGAACGGTCGTTTCCATAAGATGCGTACGGCAATTTCGCACCATTGTCGATTCACCAATAAACACGAATGAAGATTTTTCAGAGCAGAGTGATCATAATAGGCAGATGAAGAATCTATTTCGGTTAACATTAAAAATATCTCCTCGAGTACATCCGACGACATCAGAGCAGGCGCCGAACCTAACTCTATCCTATTGAAGAAAATGAAGAATGGATGAAGAAGAAGGTGAATTATTTGCGTGAAGACAACGATGTGGGCAGGAATGTTTGGAAAAAATAATGCGTAAGAAAATTCTATCAAGGACAGGATGAAGTAATTATCCAATGATATTCCTTGAATGTCATACGCACTGAGGAAGCGAATGTCGAGAGAACTCCCTGATTCTCTTTTTTCTGAGCATTTTTTACCCGCATTAAGATTTTTTCTATATATAGTAAAGAGAGGCCATGGAAGTTAATAAAAAAATGGTGAGAAACTAACATCTTGAAATTTTTCGACGAGTTATATTCAGACATGATGATGATGGTCTTTTTCGAACCTCTGTTATTTGAAGAGAAATTCTCATTGTCATGAAGGGAGAGGAATGAATTTATACTCCAAGAAGGAAAAAAATTTTTTTAAGAATATGCGTACGTATGTTTGTTTGTTTGTTCGAAGAGTGAAAAAGAAGGAAGCAGAACTGAGAGCCGTTTCAAGAAAAGGCAATGGGAAAATGCGAAATGCTTATCTAATTACAATTTAGTCAAAAAAACTCTCGCACTCGGTGGGCTCTGAGTATTTGTGGACAGATGAAATAAATGAGATGTTAACTATTTGTAGTGAGTTGAACAAATTTTCATGGGCGCAGCAATGGAGTTATATATAAATGCATAGGTTGTGAATCATGTTCACGACATAAAGGCGATGCTATGTTAGTGATTGAATGGGAGTGAGGGAGGTCAAATGAACTCCATTTTTACAAGTTTGAGGCGTTCAATCTTTATTCGGTTATTTTATTTATTTCTTCATCGTTCCGGTCGGTGTCTCACCGTCTAAGGAATGTGAATTTGGTATTCTCGAAAATTATAATTCCGGTGAGACAATGTGCACCTCAT